CAAAATCAACTGAGTTTTATTCAAAATCTTAAGTAAAATTGATGCACCAGATTTTCTAGGTCTACCCAATCACTAGACATAAAACCAGCTCTATACATATGAATACCTAACCTTGGAAAACACTAAGATAAATTATGCAAACTTTTCAGTTTCTGAATTTGCATTACAGAAGAAATCCTTTATTAGTGAGTGAAGGTCTATGATCTCTAATAGGGATAGACTTGCAAAGGATCAGATAACACTCTCCATCAAAGTAAGTGGAAACCTGTCCTAAATTCTTTATCTTCTTTTAACTATTCTTGTCATGAAACATATCTGGATGAATTAAAAGTTCTTTGTTATGGCATAGAGGAAATCAATCTTTTTGCTATGTCTTTAACTGAGCATAGTAAGGAAAATCTGGGTCAGACTACTCAGGCAGTTAATATTGCCTAGAATTGAGGGCAATAGAGTAGTGTGAATGGATCCAAGAGCTGCCTTATTATGGCCCTGCCTTGACCATGTCCTAGTTCTGTGTCTTTGGGTGAGTTATAGAATTACCTATTAATTGGATGTTCTTACATATAGAAGGATGCATTGTGATAATTAACTGAGTTAATATATGTAAAGTGCTTAGAAATAAAAGTAAGCACCCTAAAAAGTTATTATTTATTATTAATATGACTCAAACATGAATTAAAGGTGAATTACTCTACAAATAAAATGATTGTTGGTAAACATCCTTCATAGAATGGAAACACAGCCATGTATGATGCACTTACTCACATATGATCCCCCCCTAGTTTTTCAATGTTTTTATCTTTCAGAGATCATAATTTTATTTTATACAGAATGTTGGGCTGGAGTGATAGCACAGTGGGTAGGGAATTTGCCTTGCACATGGCCAACGCGGGTTTGATTCCTCCACCCCTCTTGGAGAGTCCAGCAAGCCCGAGAGTATCTTGCCCACACAACAAAGCCTGGAAAGCTACCCTTGACGTATTCAATATGCCAAATACAGTAACAACAAGTCTCATAATGAAGATGTTACTGGTACCAGCTTGAGAAAATCGATGAACATTGGGAGGACAGTGACAGTGACAGTGACACAGAAAGTCATGTACTTTGCTATGTTAAGGGGTTTTTTTGTAACTAAAGCAACCATCTGATATTATCTGTATTGAGAAGATAATGTAGGATTCAGTGAAAATTATTTGAGGAGAGAAGGGAAATACCAGGTAGTGCTGAGGAGCCCGTGGGTCAGGGTACCACAGTTCTTGGAGTACTATGTGGTGCTGGAAATAGAACTAGGATTGGCTGTGTTTTTCTCTCATTTCCAGTACAACTGAATTTGATAAAATATATAAAATGTATTCTATTCTTCCAGCCTTTTGTGACTACATGAAATTATCATGTGGATAATGTATTGACTGTCTTTTTCAAGCATAATCTTTCTCAGTAGCTAATACATCATAGTTATCCCCTTCAACTACTGCAAAACAGAGTTTTAGCCTGCTTACAAGCTACTTAGAATGCATTATAAAACTTGGCCATATCACAGATCTGTTAATAATATCACTATGCTATCTGTGCTGCTCTGGGCAGCAAGCCCAATATCTCTAAACTAGAGACTTTTACTATACTATCTTACTGAAATAATAAGTGAGTATGCTAATATAAAATTGAACATGTCTTTATTAAAGAAAGATATACAATTATGTATTGGAAAACATATTAATCTGCTATTTGCTACCAGGAAAATTATTTTGCTATTGAAAAAGTAAAAAAATAAGGCTTTTAAGACTGTCATTTTATTGATATATATAAACATATATATATATATATCATTATGGTCTGATAAATTAGTCAGACATAAATATAAGCATTAGACCAAGAATTCCATGGAAATGGGACCAGAAAGATAGTACAGTGGGTAAGGTGTTTTCCGTGCACAAGACTGGCCTGGGTTTGAGCCCTGCAACCCATATGGAACACCACTATGGAACACCACTACAGAGCCAGGAGTAAGCCCTGAGCACCACTGGGTGTGGCTTAAAAACAAAAGTGTACATTTTGGAAAAGAATTTCATGAAGACATTGTGCACTTACCAGAGAGCCTGGCAAGCTACCGAGAGTATTCAATATGCCAAACACAGTAACAAGAAGTCTCACAATGGAGACGTTACTGGGCCCGCTCGAGCAAATCGACGATCAACGGGAGGACAGTGTTTGTTTGTTGTTTGTTTATCACTATAATTTTTATAGGTGAAAATTTTTAAATAGCACAGCGGTAGGGCGTTCGCCTTACAAGCGGCCAACATGGCCGACCCGAGTTCGATTCCTCCGCCCCTCTCGGAGAGCCCGGCAAGCTACCGAGAGTATTCGATATGCCAGACACAGTAACAACAAAGTCTCCAATGGAGACGTTACTGGGCCCGCTCGAGTAAATCGACGATCAACGGGAGGGCCTTTACCTTACCTTTAAAATTTTAATAAAATGAATTCATCTTTGTGACCTTTAGGGCTAGTTAAAAAGGAAGAAATAAGGGTAGGAAGTAGAGAAGTTTTGAGGGATCACTGAAGGAATCATTAACCCTTTCTCTTACATTGCAAATTTTTATCTATTTGCCAACCTCTATGCGGTTTAATCTGAATGGTGAATGGCATTTATACAAGGTCACTATTGTTACCAAGACAAAAGAGATGATCTCCTCCTCTAGGACCTTAATTTCACATACACATATTAATTAAATAATACAGAGCAGTCCTGTCTGGCTGAGGGCATGAGTTAGACACAATATTTGTGACACCTATGAGAGGCCTTAGGATAGATTCTCTCTCTCTCTCTCTCACTCTTTCTTGCTCTTTCTCTCTCTCTGTCTCTCTCTCTCTCTCTCTCTCTCTCACACACACACACACACACAAACACACACACAAATTGATTCTGAACTTTCCAAATATGGTATGGCTGTTCACTTTGAAAATGATTCCTGGCAGCTTTGTAAACCCTGCCTTTCTTCTGTTTCCTGAATCATGAGCTGCTCTGTGTGAGGGAAGCGTATGTCTGTGGGGTGAGAAGTAGTTCAGGAGGCTCAGGGCCCTTTCCAGTGATTCTAGGTCAGCTGAGCCAGCAGGTCAATGTGAGAACCCAAAGATGCAGTGCTGCTTGGGCCCTGCGTTGGTGCCTCAGATCACCCAAGTCACCCAGTGGTGGTTAACATCTTCAGAGTTGCTATGCCAGCAGCTGGCAATGCACTGTAAACCATCTTGTGCCAAGGATGGAACCAGGATGAGCTTTATGCAAGGTGTGTGCCTTAACCCCTGTACTAGTTCTTTGGCCCAGAGAGGGTGGCATAAATATTAATCATTGTAAATAAAACAGAAGAAAATTGTAGAATACCATTATACCATTCCAGAAACGTAGATTGTAGGTAGCATATATTTTAAGCTTTTGCATTTTTATTATTCACCTTTTGTTTTTAGATAATTTTACTTATCCATATAATGAAGTAAGTTATATCTAGTTATTGTGTTTTGTGAAGTTAGTCTAAATGGAGGAGTGACACATATAATTTATCTTATATGTACCTCGCCTGCACATCAAAGTCTGACAGGCCACCCATGGCCTATTCGACATGCCAAACACAGTAACAACCAGTCTCACAATGTTACTGGGCCCGCTCGAGCAAATCGATGAACAACCGGAGGACAGTGACAGTGACAGTGAAAGTGAGACATAAAGCAATGTGATAGGAGAAAAACAAACGTACACAAACGAAAACTGAAACTGGTCTTCTGTAGGAAGCTTAGTGCAGTGAAGGGAAGAAGGGAGTAATAGGAAATGGTGACCTGAGACAATGGTGAAAGGATGTGGATACTTTTGGGAGAATGTTGTGCTGGAATGTTTTATATATGAAATTCTACCACTAGCAGTTTTGTAAACCATGGTGTCGGGAATAATTGTTTTAACAATAATAAATAAAATATTAAAGCAACCTAAAAATTCTACACCCATTCATTTTCCCCAAAACATAATTTTCTTCCCTTATCTTCAAATCCATTTCTTGTTCCTTTTATTGTCTTATACTTGTCCTTTGTACAATTCCCAAAGTTTTATATTATTTTACATTCCATAGTTATAAAAGTAACAAAAAATTATATAAAAGCTGTGATATAACAGAAATACCAAAAACTGATAAAGAGTGAGGTGGGATTTTTGATAATTTACTATATATATAAGTATTTTCCCATGTCCTTAAAATTTTCAAAACTATTTTTAAAGAAGCCATGATTTATATATTTTCTGAATATTGGACATTTAGGTTGGTTCTAAATTTTCTTATTATAGAAAATTTTTGTAGAATCATATTGCTCCTTTATCTGGATTGTGTTTCATCTAGTTTCCTACTGCCTAATCAGTACCCTACTTGGTTGCCTTATAATAGATATCACATAAATGACATGTGATATCTTGACATTTATTCCCAATCAGCACTTCCACAGAAAAATATGATTCCAAATCTAAAGAAAATTCAACCAACAGAAACAGCCCAGGAATGGCAGAATTAGCAACAAGAAGACAAGGAGGTTTGAAGAAAGAGAAAAGACTATTATAAGTATGGTCAACCTTAAAACAATGGGAACAAATGTAATTCAGATGATAGAAATGGAAAATACTACAGCATAATGATGAAATACAGATTCTTAAAAAATTATTGTCATGTAAATTGCAGAAGAAAAATATGAACTTGAACAAGAAGGCACAGCAGTAGAACTTATTTGGTAAAACACAGAAAATAAAAAAAAAACATTTTAAAAAATTATAACATTATCACCAGAAAAAGCAGGTTTGGACTACCAGATGGTCATAAAATTTTGACATTTGATCAAAACTTGTAATCATATTTATCTAAGAGTCTTAACCAATCCTGAAGATATTATGAAGGGGAAGCATACTGCAATATACTTCTTGTCAGAAATGATGCAACGCAGATTAATAGAGCAATATCTTCAAACTACAGGGAGGCTGAGTCCAGGGTCTGTGGTCTGAGCAGCAGCAGAATGGAGCTGTCGTTACTAAGGAGAGAGCGGCTATGGAAGGACAGGTAGGGGACAAACATCAAGGTGCTATTTTTTTCCCCCTGAAAATGTTAAATATGTGTTTATATATAAGGCAGCCAAGAGCGATATCTGTTGGGTCACGAGGCTATAGCAATTAGCAAAGCAGAATTCTGAACACAGCCACCCGTGACCTCCACCACACAAGTAGAGGTCATAAAGTTGTATACAAGGGAGAAATGTAATCAAATCCAGAATCAGGCTCTCTGTGCTTCACCATAGGGATAGCGTTATTAGCTTTAAGGTTTATAGAATCTGCCTTGGTATTTGCTAATAAAGGTAAAAACTAGAGTTCTTTTTACGTAATGCCTCCTCGCAGTAGCACTTTCCACCAGCTCAGAAGAGGCAGTCAGCTTTTCCAGGAAGAAGGGAGGGCTCCAGTATTGCATGGGTCTAATGGAGGAGTAGTCGGTAAAGTCCATCATTTCCATATTAACACCAGACACCAGTCCTCACTGAAGGATATTAGCAGCCCTCATGAGTATCTGTAACTGGATGGGTATGCATTAAATAACAACCCTCACCTTAGGTGTTTTTAAAAATTAGATTGACCTTGAAATAGAAGCATGCAAGTCCTTTCTCACATAGACTGCATCCTAATGGAAATGCTGTCAACAAATCCACTGGAACCAGTTATATTTTTTTTCTTCTTAATCTTTTTTTCCAAAGACTCATTTACCATCTTGAGACAGAGGATGAAGGCGGAATGAAACAGCTGAAATGAATGTGATAGTCAGAGATTTCAAAGCCAATTATGTGAGGCCTGGCTCTGAATTTATAATAGTGTAAGCACATCCTTGGAGTTCTCAAGGGCTGCACGAACACTTTTCTGTTTTTCATTTAGTTGATATGACAGTGTAAAAATGGGCAGAGAAATGTTGTTATGCCTTGTCAACCAATTAAGAACAAGATAATGAAATTCTATGATTTTCCCCTCAACAAAGTGAAGGCAAGTAAAAAATCCAAATTCCCAGACCCAAAAGGATAGTATCTTGGCTGAAAGCACAGGTTTGGGAGTCACAGTAACTGAGTCATGACAGCTCTTTGGGGTTAGATGAGCTGCGTAATCTATATCTGTTTCGCTATCTATTCCTGTTCCATGAATTAGTCTCAAGATCAAATAAAATAATTTTAGTAAAACACTTTGAAGAGAGTTTTGCACAAAATGAGCTGCAATCGGGTTAAGAATGGCGGTTGGTATTGATATTATTACTATTCTTATGAATCTTGACTTCTAGGGAGGCACCATGGTGAAAATAGGATTGATCACACTCGTGATGGTAATGATTCAAATGAGGAAGATAGATTGAGATTTGGAAGTGAACAGAGGGGAAATATGTTTCAAGCTATTCTAATAGAACCTAGACATGCCCTGTATTCGCGCTCCCTTGGAAGGTAGATTTCAAGGCTATTTTTTTATATCCATTGCATTGTAATGTAATTTAATATATTATTATTGATATATTTATCACTTCTAGAGAATATATTAAATACAGACAATGGCTGATTTATATAAATAATACATATCTAAAGAGTTTTGTGCCATATGTTGATCTAGGAAGGTTATTTTGCATTTAAAATTAGGAGAAGTCAATGGTACTAAGGAGGAGATGTAACTGAGGTCGAAATTCACAGTGAAAATATGGTCTCTCTAGCTAAAGCCCATAGAACTTCCCTAGGACTATGCATTGTCTTCTGCAGCTTAGAGAGAAATCTTGAATTAAGTTCTGTTTTCAAAAGTTAGTGGATACTAGCAGATAGTTCTTATTACAGTTGACAGTGTAATTTCTGTATTCTCTAGTTTTGAAAGAGATTATACAATTTAGAAATGGGGCTAATTTATACCTCCCTCATATGGAACATGTCTGCTACCAAAGTTGCTTTCCAATCTCTGACAGGCCACCAGTAACCTCTGAAAGTTTTATTCACACAGCATCCTATGTATCATTCTAGATTGTGGGGTGATATAGGGTGCTTGGGGTGCTGTGGGGTCCCGACTTGCAGGACTCCATGAGGATATCCTGGGCGAGGGAGCTCCTGAATGAGAAGGAATGGACGCACGTCTTGGACGGGGAACATGCAACGAGCTTTATTGTCTACATGGCGCTTATATACTTTAAGGTGGCACACGCGTGAAACAAGAATGGGCTGATCTCTGTCGTGGCTAATGGTCAGTGGAGGACAGTCAAGATAGCCGTATAAGGAGTGAAGATTTACAGAGGGGCTTGCCAGGTTGCATCATCCAAGGGCCGCATGGTGGGATGCCATGTGCTTGTGAGGAGCAAAGCCAAGACGGAGACCTCTGGCTCCCCACACTAGATATATGGACTCTGGGTATTTAGGGACAGGACTGGGAGATAGTGACCAACACGCAACAAATATCCGCACATATGATCATTGGTGCACAGCTGGTTTGGAAACTATTAGCTTAGTACATAGTGGAACAATATATAGACAGGTCATTTTTCTGATAAAATTTTGTGAAAATACAGGATGATCCTTAATTCACCAATAGAACTCATGAAAACAAGAAAAGAAATGACATTATTGGTGAGTAAGAGATGCTAGACATAGAATTTGTTCAGCTATATTTTGACTTTTCCTCCAAATTATGGCAATTTAAAAACATAAGGTACGTATTTTGCTCCACAAACATACACTTTTGTAAAAAAGCACAATAATTTCTTTAACTAAAATTGCACTTAATCTCCATCTTGCTTATATTCTCCTCTTAAATTCCTTCATGACTATCAACCCAATGAAAGCTCAAACTTTTGAAGAACTAAAACCTCAAACAGTTCTTTTTTTTTCATGAAAATGTATTCTTTCTCTTATGTGTCATTAATCCCAGCAAGTAAAGGAAATGTAAAGGTCTGTTTATCTGCTTCAAAGGTAGGAAGAGAAAAAAAAAATGGTGAGTTGAAAACACTAAACATAAACCAATACTGCAGTACACTATTTTGTTTACTTCTTTATTAAGCACACATTTTATGGTATACAATTCTAGAGAAAAGGCAATGTATTTTAGTGTAATTTATATAAAGTCCTCAAATATACATAATCTCCTTCTTGTTCCCAAGATCTGAAGTACATTTTTGTCTATTAAAATGAAAACTCTGATTTAAAGGGACTCATTTTTTGGTCTTCACCATATTTTCAAATTTATCTTTGGTTTCCTCCCCCCTTGCCCCCAGCCCCTGCTTAATCAACTTAACTAGATAACTGCCTTCTGCTTCCCTTCCTGCTCTTGCAAAACCCTTCACAAAACATATGTTTCCTGCAGGTATTCCTATCTTTACTTTTACATATAAAGATCCATTTTTTTATGGTCAGGGTTCAATGATGCCTTCAGACAATTTTTCTTAGTTCTCCTGATGGTTATCAATTGCTCTTGATTCAAAATTTTAAAATATATTTTTTCTAACATCACATTGAAACAGTTTTAATGTGAATTTATGAAGTGCATGCATGTATTGACACATATACACAAACTCACATACACACATTCTCTAAGACAAAGTTGTCTATGAGGAAATAATCTACCATATTTTTATCTTCCATAACACCTAGATTATTATCTGGTGCATGGACACAGTGATTTGCTGAGTACCTGCTCTCTGGAAGTGATTTGTGATGTCTCTTTATGTTGCATCTCATTTTAATCCCATAACTTGCCTAATGAGATAGTATTATTAGGTCATTTTCTAGAGAAGACTGTCAAGGTGGTGACAATTTAATAACTCTCTTGACTGTCACATGAATAAGTTGAAGGACAACATTCAAATCCATAATGTTGCGTTGTGATCACTGTCAATCTCTGACATCCTGCTACAGGTTTTCATGTTGTTGCTAATGCTTTTGCACAGTCACACGTCAAATCAGTTCTTTAAAAAGTCCTTTATGTTTTGGGTGAACACAATAGTAGAATTGCAGCACTTGCAACACACACACACACACACATACATACACACAAATATATCTTTGGGCCACACCCAGTGGTGCTCAGGACTTACTTCTGGCTATGTTCCTGGATCACTTCTAGCCGTGCTTGAGAATAATAGGGATCAAACATGGGCTGGCCATGGGCTGTTAGGCACCTTACCTGCTGTGCTATCTCCCTGGCCCCTAATATTATTTTTATAGAGACCTTCGCTAGCACACATTTTCTCTGAAAATATCTAAAACTTAACTGAAATCTTCTTAACAGCTAAATGTGCTTGCATATTAAAATATATGAGATTTTGAAAACTTTCAATATCAGATATCAATAGCAGATTTTTCCAACATAATAGTGCCTAATCAACTGTTCATAGTAATTGATAATTCCATAATAAACAGTTAAGTCATGATCAGCTATTTATATTATTTCATGAGTACTTAAATGATAATGCTAATGCCTTTGTATAATATATGATTAAAACCCCTCATTGGTAAAAAAGAAAATCAGTACCTTGGTGGAATTTGTACGTTCTATTTCTTAATAGTTTGAAAAATGCAGGCTTTGAGATTTAGCACAAATTACTAGTAGTTCTCAGAAAAATTTAAGAAGTTAAAACTGCAGAAAAATATGATTAAGAAAATAAAATTACCTATAATTTTAATACTTATAGAATATACTATTAATGCTTTTGGAGCTTAGTTATAGTACAGTGGGTAGGGTACTTATCTTGCATGTGACTGACCTGAGTTTAGTCCCTGGCACCCCATTTGGTTACCCATGTTCTGTCAGCAGTGATCCCTGACCACAAAACTGGAGTAAATCCTGAGCACGACTGGGTCGGGGCCCAAAACAAGAAGAAATACTATTAATATTTCACTGAGTTTTTCCTTTTATATACACAGTCATACAGAAAAACTCTCACTGGATAGGCATGATATATATGTAGAGATTTATGGTATTTTTACATTTTAATATATGAAGAACAATTTTAATGTCACTTCACATTCATTTACAAAATCCATAATATTGAGATAATTAAGGACTTTA